TAAATATAGAAATATCTATAATTTATTAAAATCTACAGATAATATTTGTTAACATGTGTAATTAACGAGAAATGAAAATAGTAGGGTAAAGTTGCCTAATATGAGACCCAAATACACAGATTTCAAAAATGGGTTCCTAATATGAGAAAACTATTTTTTCTGTCTTTTTTCACAGATTGGGCATATTAAATCTGTTTCTTCAGCACCGCAGACTTCGTGGGCTCGCCGGTAACACTTTGTACACTAAAACAAAATTTGGTACCTAATATGAGACTCTTCTTATGATAGGAACTTCCGAGGGTCTCGTATTCGGAAACAACAGCACGATAGCTATTAAGTAGCTTCGAGGTTAAGTCTTCGTTATTTAACGATACGCAACTAGTAAGCCTTAAACTCCATTGCATGCACTATACAACAGTATTTGTGAAACTGATTATAAACTTACTATTTTCGAGGTATTTGTAATTTAATCGAACCACTTGAAAAACTTTCTGCATCGCTAAAACAGCATCGCTACGACATTCAAGAGTTCATATTAGGACCGTCTCATATTCGGCTACTTTACCCTACAGATTGTAGAAAATAGTGAAGACAATAGATCTAAAATTAAATACGTTCGCAATTATTTACGCGATCAAAAGAAAAGAACATAGAAATTCTGAATTTGTAATTTTGCAAATTTTGGGTTAATTAAATTTGACCCAAAAAGCGATATCAGTGGAGCTTAATTTGTATTATATTTCCCGCATTATAGAGGGTCCTGCTGTATATTAATACGTATTCACTGAAATATCTTTAATTTATTAAAATCTACAGATAAGAAATATACGAAAAAGTGTGTTAACGTGACAGTAGTAAAGATAGTAGAAAATAGTAGGAGATAAATGGATTGTAAGACGGGTGAAACTTAAATAAAATTGTAACTAGAATAGTGCGTCTTCATGATAGTCATAATGAACTTATTTAACATTAACTCGTTTAAAGCTCTGCCTTTTCAGGTCCATAATTCACGCACGACATTTATCATTACCAGGCTATTACGCTGTCTTACGCATGAACAGAATGATTGACTTTATTACCGAATGGAAAGTATGTTTACCAAGGGGGCAACGATTATTTCACCCAACTATTCAATAATATATCAGCCACGGTTCTGTTTTCATTATCGTTTCATTGTTACTATTCAGCATAGAATCACACAATTTCGCACAATTTCCTCGCTTACAACGTCGCCATTCATAAAATTGCCATTTCATACTACTTTTCATGCGAAAAGAGGAAAATTGACACAAAAGAGCAGAGCATTTGTCAAAGGATAAATAAATCTCTTACTTACGGTGAAAGGTGACAAACTTAGTTCTTAGCTGGTAAGTTCCAAGAGATCTCGTCGATAAATATCTGACGGATGCTTCGTACCTGATCTTTAATCGGTAAACGTGCATAACCGGATTTTCTTTACAAGAAGGTGCACGATTCTGAATTACATAATTTAACACAAAACGGAGTTCTGACGTAATGTCAACCTTCGTAGATCCTGAATTTAGCACTGCCATTGTAACTGCGCAGGACTTACTCCTCACAGACAATATAAAAAACAGTCTAATTGTAGTTGCAAAATAAAATACTTTTTTTTTTTAATATTGAACTCATGATATGAAAAGTTTTAGTTACTAATTTTTTTTAATTTAAATTTGAACTGATTTACTTTCATACTCTTTTTAATGCAAATATATGCACACCGATGTTGCGTTATTTTTATTTTATTAACGTGAGATATTATGAGAACGTCGACTCTTATTTTCAACTGAAAACAATCTTTCAACTAAATATTATCACTGATGATATTTTTTGAATAATTATTGTCTATTTAATTTTGCATGGATTTAGCAAAATGTCCGCCTCTAACTAAGTTCCCGCCGTTTTTTTAAATTTTAACATTCCGCATGTCATTCAATGTTTTTGGCATAATGTTTTAAATCATTCGAAAGAGGATGTTTTGTTCTACCGGAATCTTCTTTGTTCGAGTTAATTTCTGTTAATTTTCAGATCATTCAAATGGAATGTCAAATTGAGAAAAATGAGCATTTTCGACACCTCCTTCTTTTTGCTTTTAATCAAGGTTCTAAGGCCGCAAAAGCTGCTCGCGACATTTGTGCTGTGTATGGAGAGGGTGCCATAGCTGAAAGAACCGCTCGTGATTGGTATGGCAAATTCAAAAATCAAAGAGTCAGTTATTTAATTTAATTTAATTTTTAAGGGGAATATGTGAAGAATCCATTTTCCTCGCATGTTCCCCCTTAAAATTAATGAGCTACAACACAAAAAATAATACTTCCATGACAAATTTTAAAACCATTTTTTATTTTTTTAAAAAGTCACAGTTATTTATTTTTAAGGGGAACATGTGAAGAATCAATTTCCCTCGTGTAATCCCCCTTAAAGTTATTGAAAATTATTCAGCTACAGCAGAAAAAATTGCTCGAGCTTAAAAGAGGGTGAATTTTAGGGCTGCCTGGGGCGTCGGATTCCCCACCGTATTTTTTTCTAGGGTGTCGAAGAGTATTCATGGCAAATTTGGTGTGAACACGTTGCACGGTATAGAAACCTTCACCTAACAAACATATTTTGACTTTTACATGTAGAAGTAAATTTGAAAAATTTTATTAAATTCGATTAACTGAAATAGACTTGTTCTTTTAAGGCCTCGTAATGATGTCGCACCTAGAGCCTCCAGAAGTATAAATACGGCCCTGTAACTGTGATTTAGCAAGCATTTTAAAGTGGAACAAATCAAATCTGCGAATAATATGTGATAACGTATACAATATAACCTTTACATTCCATAAATCATCGACGAGTGGAGAAAAGTCATTCTCAAAACTTCGACGATAAAGGGAAACGTTATGTCGAACAATGTATAATAGTGATCGTGAAACTTTTTCGGTGAAAATGTGTACTCTGATATTTTGGAAGTACAGAGAAATTGGAATAATAGGGGAAAAGTTTTGAAAGCAAGAAACGAAGGAACATAAATTCTGCAAGAATTCTGCTACCAGAGAATAATGATTTTTCTGCTCTGCTTAAATGCAGCAGCTCTGCTACAAGAAAAACAGGCTAACGAAAAAAAAAAAAAAAAATCGAAGAAATGCGTGTATTTAATTTGTTCTAGTAAAAACAGCTCCAATTTCGAAATATATCGCTGGAAACAACTGGAGCGTATTTTGAATACTGCGGAATTTCCCTAGAATATTAATTCGTACCGAACGAATATTTCTTTCGAAATATTGACCGATGCGTTTTAACATCGAACTGAATCAGTATAAACCGGTTTTAAATCTTCTCCTTTCGAACTGAAGATTTTATAAATTGACGAGACGAAAGATTTTATAAATTATTACGAATTTTTAGAATACAGAATAATGCGGATGTTGGAATTTTTCATGTTTTCATGAGAAAAATGCAAATGTTAGAATGCATATAGAGAAATATACGTACATAGGAAATCTTTATTTGCATTCGAGAGGGATATTGATCATTCTTACATGTGAAAGCACGATAAGATAAAATTTATCGGGAACACGTTTTATGTAAATAAATAAAACCGAGAGGAATTTGACATTGAAACATTTTTTTTTAATCTTATCGAGAGATTTAAGATACATTCAAAACAACACAACAAATTAATATGCAACAATAATTTACATAGTAGTTATTAAACGATAAAAAATTACTATTGTTACTAGATGATAAAAAGTTACTAAAAATTTGTTGTATTATCTTTCGATCAAACATTTTTTTTTTTTTTTTTTACAAAGAAATACAAATTTTGTTAACGTTTGTGCTAACGAACTAATGCGAAAATCTCGTAAATTTTACTTGTACTTTAATATATCTTCACGCATAATTAAAAAGACTGCATACGTGTGTGAAGTTTACGAGGCAGCTGGAATTTTTTCACTCATACATTATGCAACCACACAGCTGCATTTTGGTTACATTAAACGTTGCAAAAACATCGAATTGCACGATGTAGCACTTCCGCTTTTATTCCGAAATAATGCTTGTGAAAAATTCAATAGAATAACACGCAACTTATTTTTGAAAAATTCAAATATTATTCAAACCGTTTCGTTTCTTCGAACTGTGCACAATAATAAAATAAAACTAAAAAATAAAAATATGTTGTTCGAGAAAAATAATAATTATTGAATGAAAGAAAATAATGTATTATTTCACTCTGACGTAATAATGTAAATAAACATCATGATTATTCGACATTAATACAAGATACTGTTACATAATATATGTAAAAAAAAAGATCACTTTCTGTCTTCAATGGAAACATACTGTATACATTTATCTAATCCTACTCAAGCAAAGAAACATTGGCACCTAGCCTGCATGTGTTAGACATGCAATAGAAAGTATTTCACATTTTAATGTGCACTTTGCTCCAGAAATAAACACTCTATAAGGTAAATGTATACATAATGGTATGGTCCACATTGAAAATGAATTTGCAAATTTCAATAAAATCAATGTACCCTCCATTGGAATAAAGTAAGTAAAAGTAGAAGTGTCCAATATTTATATTTGCATTTTAATATAAAAAATGAAATGGTTAAAAATATAATATTAGCAAAACAGTATCTTGTATTAAATTGTCCTTTGTATTATAGCACATTATTTTTCTGACTTGTTAAGTTGTTTCGTCTTAATAAGCGTGACTGGATTATTAAGATTAGCATTTAACCTTTAATACCGTTTTCATAAAGCCATCTACAACACAGTAACGGTATAAAAAAAATGAATTTTAACGAAGTTCTTTCGCACTTTATTATTTCCTAACATCATCAATATCGATTATCTAACATCATCATATTCTATATTGCTTGTGTTATTCGTTTCATTAGAAAAGGAGGAGAAAAAAAGTTGATTGCAGAATTTGTCAAATCGCTACGTGACTCTTTCGCAACGAAAAAAAAAAATCTCAAACTCACCATTGATCAACGATTCAAGGTTCTCGTGACTGGGGCTCATGAAACTTTTAGGCACGGTCACGCCAACAATGAGACATTTGATAGCTAATCGCCACCTGCTGGCCTCCCGTAGATTATCCTCGTACTTGTCAAAGCTGCGGAACCGTAGCGTGATTGTTGTTCTTTCCCGTCTCTTGATACCCTTCATGCGTACCTTCTTCAGCGTGTAAGCATAAATATAAAGATAGGCCGAAGTGTCGAACTCATCATAGCATTGAAACGCTTCCATAGACTCGACCAACTTGAATTGAGATCTCGAAGTACCTGGCCCACAAACACAGCTTCCCGCGCTTTTGCGTTTCGAACGCATACATCTGCACCCTATTATGTCGTTTAGAACGATCGTTTCAACCTTCGTCGCACCATTATTGTCTTTTTCCAAGCTGAGACCTTTTTCCGTTAGTCTCACCTTGTAATAAGTGTTTTTCTTGGACGTAACGTAAAAAGTTTCTTCGAGAAGAGTGCTAGAATGCACTTGACCACCGTCCTCCATGACACGCTGATGACTGTCTTTCATTCAATAAGAAACACGAATCACATCGATAATCGCACCATAGGCAGATCATTATCATGGTAATTAAGGCACACGTTAAAGAGGCATCTCTTTTGTTGTTCGCAGGTAAACTTGCATTTCCTGCCACTGGATAGAATTGTTACTCTGTATGATTCCATTTAAGAAACAGTACCTATGCCCGACCACTTAACGGCTTAATTTTCGCTTGCAGCTTCTTTCATTCTTCCGGGCATTTTCCCCTCGTTTAATCGCTCCGCTTGTCGCATAGCTAATTTAATGAAACACGTGCATATCACAAGTAATACACTTGCAACATTATCCCTCGTCAAAAGATTCGTTTTACGAAAGGACGGTTTATAAATTATTCTCACGTAACACTGTCGAAGTTATTACCGAACTGTTTACACGTAATTAAAAGAATATGCTATTCTAAATTACGATTAAAACAAATTATCTCACCATAATCTCCGTTACTTCTGTACTCGCACGCATTCGAACATTGAACTGGTTCGAACACACCGAAGTCACGGCATATACTATTTATGTGAAACTTGAAACCTGACGGACCAATTGCTGGAACACCCTCAGCGCAATCTTGCGTTGGGAAAATGTACTTCACCATAAACATATTTCTTGTAACTGTGAGAAAATATGTTACGAGGATGAGATTTCGTACGTGTAATTTTTGACGAACTGAGCACCTTCGATCAAAACTGTAAAGGGTAGACCGATTTACCTTGATAAATGCTATAAATTTTCTCTTTGGAGAATTAGAACTGGTTATTTTTCTATATTTTTATCACTTCTGCTATTCTGTTATGTTAGGTGTATAGATATTTTATATGGATACGTACTGCGTATAATACTAAACAAATACTTAATAAATATCTAAAAAAAAAAATTATTCTAATTGTATATCTGTTAATAATATGTTGAGCAAATTAAAAGTAAATCAATACTGTCTTAAATGTGACTATAAAACATACATTTTCTTCAAAGATATGCAAATAATATATTTGATTAACTTTTAGTTAAAAATTTGAAGTTATATCTTAATTATCTAAGAATTATTGTTTTTATAAAATCAAATAAACTTATTTATTTAGCTAACGTAAAATGTGTAATAACTGAACCAAAATTTAGTAAAAATTGTGAGCTAGATCCTTTAAAGAATTAAAAATAAAAATTAATCATAATTAAAAGAAGCATTTAAATAAGCAAATATTGTATTAGT